GTCACGGAGGCAGCGAGGTGTCTGCCAGTCCAATACGGCTTGAACCTTCGCGGGGTCCATCTTGATACCGTCGGTAGAGATGATGAGGCCTAGGTAGAGGACTTGTGTGACACCGAACTCGCATTTGTTGATGTCCAGGTAGATCTTGTTCCTTCGCAAAACTTCTAACACCTTCTGTGTATACCGGACGTGTTCCTCCATTGTGTCGCTGTAGATAAGGATGTCGTCTAGATACGCAGTAACGAAGTCTTCTAAAAACTCTCTGAGCACTGAGTTGATAAAGGCTTGCCATGTCGCAGGAGCGTTGCAAAGGCCAAAGGGCATGACCTTGTATTCGAAGAGGCCAAAGCGGGTGAGGAAAGCTGTCTTTTCAACATCCTCAGGGTGCATTCGTATCTCGTTGAACGCAGCGATGACGTCGAATTTCGAGAAATATCGTGCGCGACTCAGACGCGTCAGGGTCTCTTGAATTAGCGGCGGTGCGTTTCTATTTTTGATGGTGAGGGCGTTTAGAGAGCGGTAATCGACGCAGATTCGGAGTCCGCCTCTAGGTTTCTTGACCACCAACACGGGCGATGCATAAGGCGATTTACTCGGTTGAATAAAGTCCTTCCCTAGCATATTCTCGACGTACGCTTTTACAGCCTCTGCATCATCGCGAGAGCAACCAAATAAACGTTTCGCGGGCCTTGAAGCGCCCGGTTCAAGGGTGATGCGATGATCAATGCTTGGCCGATTTGGTGGAAGCTTGTCCGCCTCCTTTGGATCGAAGACATCGATATAGGGCCTGCAGTAATCTGGTAATATCTTGAGCAGCTCGGCTCGAATAAGCGGCTTTGTATCCAGCTTGTCGTAGAACTTTTGGTAGTCCTCTGGCGAGATAGCGGCTAGGGACTCGGCGACATTAGCGGTCGTCTTTGGTCGTGAACGTGGTCGGCCTTCTCGTCCTAGTAACTCTTTGAAGTCTCTCGGGTACAATGCGCATATTTGATGCCCAGGCCTTCTGGCTATACGCATGAGGGCGTAAGCAGATACTACTTGTACATCAATCTTTGGTTTGTCTGTTTTGTCGTTCTCTTTTTCATGGTCGTCGTGCGGTCCCAGGTGGTGATGTCCGCGTGAATATATCGTACATGCTTTGAAGTGCTCCAGACACTGGATGCTGCAGAATTCGGAATTGAATGTCAAAGATCTCTTCTTCCAAGAGACGTCGGGGTCATGTTCCTCTAACCACGGCATGCTAAGGACCACGTCGAAGGTGCCTAGGTCAGATATGTATCCGACGACATATGACAGGTGCTCTCGGTGTTTGACCTCTATCATCGTGGCGTGGGTAAGAGGCGCAGTTTTCTCATCGTCAGCGTATTCTAGCAGCATAGGCACTGACAGTTCCTAAATAGGAAGCTTTTCTCGCTTCACAACTCTCGGGTCAACGATGGCCATCGCAGTGCTGCCAGAGTCGACCAAGCTAACTCCTTGGACGTGTTTTTTCTGTGCTTTTGACCATATCTTACATCTGAAAGTCATCTGGTTTGAACTTTTAGGCTCCGGTCTTTTCTTCACCATTTCCTCAAACTCCGCTTCCCGTTCGGTCTGTATGCGGATGCTAGAGACACGGATTCTCTGCTTTTCTCGTGAATAATGCGCTCGTTGGGCTAAGTCAATCTCGGCCACTGTTAACCCCCGGAGGCGACTATCGCCGGAGGGTCTCAGTTTTCCGAATCGGATGACTCAGGGTGATCGTCCATTCGGGGCTTCGGGTGAGGAGCCTTTTGCTCAGTGTCGTATGCGCGGACATTTTCAGTCATCTTAGCAGGTTTCTGTCCCTTGCACGGAGCGTCGTCTGCATTAGCCATATGACCTGGCTTAAGGTAGACGAAACATTTGCGTTCAGCCTTCAATTGCTCTTGTTGGGATCCAGTCCGGCCGTAAGGCCAGTATCTGTGGCTGTTGCTGTAGCCACCACGGCCTCGGCCTCGGCCGCGACCTCTGGTGCCACCACGACCTCTGTCTCCACCACGTGATAAGTCAGAGTCGCGTTAGCGTTCTCCGTAGTTGCGAGCATCGGTGGTATTCTCTTCCGTCATGCGGCACGCATCGACGAACTCGTTGAAGTTTTTGGTATGGCAATTGGCCATGTCGAATTTCATTCCTCGCTTTAGGCATTCGCGGAGATAGGCGATCTTATCCTCGTCGGTAAGATGTGGGATATCGGACAAGTTGCTGTTGAATTTGGGCCAATACGCGTCGAAAGT